GATAGATCATCATCTCCATCAATACAGAAGAAATTGAAACTGAAAAGGAAGATGGCTTACCCAAGGTCACTTAGCTGGTAAGAGGCTGAGCTGAGACTTGAACCCAGGTCTGGATCACTTGCAATTCAGCAAGCTTTCCCGAGTTGATTATGCACAAGTTCCTTCCCCTCCTCCCTGAACCTCCTCCTCCAAATGTGCACCCTCCCATGCAAATGTGCAGAGAGGAGGCATTATAAACAACTAAACACTTGAACAGTTGGAGATGGTACCTGGCCCCCATCATCCAGATTAAAGTCAGACATAATACAGTCACCGCACAATCTGGACTCTCCTTGGGCAGGCAGAATTCCTCCTCTTCGGAGCCTAGGATCCCACCGGCTTTGAAAAACCACTACTCTGTCAAGAGAATTTTGAGGTCAATTTCTAAATGTGGATCTGGTAGAGACAGGAAGGAAAGAGACCTAAATTCTTCATTTCATCCCAACAGATTGTCTCATCAGCACGGAAGGTGTCCTGACCACCGAGAATCTATTTCCCTGAGGGAAAGAGAAAACAGCTCACATCTAATATCTCGACCCATAAGCTATGGCATGAAGAAGAAGCATGGTGGGGGCGCCTGCGTGGCTTAGTTGGTTGAGCATCCGACCCTTGATTTGGGTTCACGTCATGATCTCAGGGTTGTGAGATTGAGCCCCACATCGGGCTCCATGCTCAGCAGGGAGTCAGTTTGAGATTCTCTCTCCTTCTCCCTCTCCCCTGACTCACTGCTCTCTAATAAATAAAATCTTTAACAAAAAAGGAGCACTGGAAGTATTCCCACTATGATTATTCTCCTTTATAAATATGAGTCCAGTAAAAACACCAACAGAGTTCTTTCTTCATTGGGTGACTGGGTGGGGTATGATTAGCTAACTGAAAAATTCCAGGGAAAACAGGCATAACGAACGGGGGTGGGAGTACAGGAAGATTGCAGAAACCTGTAAGACACTAAGCCTTTGGAAACCTAATGTCCATCAGTAAGGGGCTAGTTAAATAAACTATGGTATACCCAAACAACAGAAAAATATGCAACCGTTTTAGAAAAAAATTAAGGAAGCTCCTTATGTATTCACATAAAATGATCTCTAAGATACAGTAATTGGAAAAAAAAAAAAAGGTGCAAAGCTGAGTCTGTAGCATGCTACTATTCGTACAAAATTAAGAAAACCCCAAAACCCATTTGTTTGTTGTATTAGTTATCTATTGCTGTAGGACAAATTACCCCAAAACTTAATGATTTAAAAAAAAACATTTATTGGGGCGCCTGGGTGGCTCAGTCGTTAAGCGCCTGCCTTCGGCTCAGGTCATGATCCCAGGGTCCTGGGATCAAGTCCCACATCGGGCTCCCTCCTTGGCGGGAAGCCTGCTCTCCCTCTCCCACTTCCCCTGCTTGTGTTCCTGCTCTGGCTCTCTGTCAAATAAATAAAATCTTTAAAAAAGATTTTATTATGTTTCCATGGGTCAGGAATCTGCACACAGCTTAGCTGGTTGCCTTTGTCTTAGGTCCTCATGAAGTTGTAACTGAGCTGTTAGCTGGGGCTGTGGTCTCAACTGAAGGCTCAACTTGGGGGGAGGTAAGGGATTTGCTTCCAAGCTCAGTCATGTGGTTGCTGGCTGGCTTCTCACATGAGCACTCCATGGGGCTGCCTTGGAGCACTGCAGCTGACCTCTTTGAGGGTGAGGGATCCGAGAGTGAGCGATGGACCCAAGTTGGAAGCTGCAGTCTTTTTTTTTTTTATCAGTTAGTTTCAGAAGTAACACCCCACTACTTCTGCAGTATTCTGTTCATAGAAGCAAATCTGTAAGCCCAGCCCACACTGAAGGAGAGGAGAGTACACAAGGACATGAATACCAGAGGTGGAACACTTGGGGACTATCTTAGAGGCTGACAACCACTGTGCGGATATGGGTAAAGACTATTTTTGGAAGAATACATCAGAAACATTTTACACTGGTTGCCTCCAGGGAAGGGAAGTAACTGGGAGAGGAGAACTTTTCACTGAATGTGCTCTTGTACCCTTTGAATTTTGCACAATGTGAATGTGTCACTTATTCAAAAGATAAATTTATTTTAAGAAGAACAATTAAAAAGATAGCATTTTAATAGTAAAAAAATAAGGAACAAAATAAAAAGTGATAAGTAATACATAGTTATTATGAAGCACTGTAAAATCCTTGTATCTATTTATGGTCAGGATTTAAAGAGCTCTGTACCACACACACACACACACACACCTCCCACTTGCAGAACAAAATACATATTCTCGAGCCAGGCATTCAGGGCTCTTCACAATTGGACTCCAGTCCACCCGAGGGAGCCATTTCTCCATCCCTCTATGAACGCTACTGAGTTGGTCAGTGGAACTATTAACATTTGCCAGTTCTGGGAGATAAAAGCAACAAGCACAATGCCTGGTACACAGCAAACTTTTGATCCGTGCTGGATTCCAATCTTTCTCAAACACTGCTTTTGCTTATTAGACTATCCCCTGGGCATGCAACACTCTGTGCTCCTCTCCATCCCCAAGTCCTAATTCAGATGTCACTGTCACTCTGGAGTATTCCGACAAGCCGTTAGTTACCACCTCTCTTCTGTTTTTTTAAAGATTTTATTTATTTATTTATTTGAGAGAGAGAACACAAGCAGGGGGAGCAGCAGGGGGAGAGGGAGAAGCCGCCCCCCCGAGCAAGGAGCTGGATGCGGGACTTGATCCCAGGACCCTGGGATCATGACCTGAGCCAAAGGCAGTTGTTTAACCAACTGAGCCACCCAGGTGTCCCCTCTCTTCCGTTTAATGTCAAATATAACACTTTTTTTTTTTTTTACCTCCCCATAACTTATAACTGGAGGTTTGTGCCCTTTACTGCCTTTCACCTATTTTGTCCATCCTCCAACCCCACAAAACACTTATCATTGTTTTACAATTTAAGTCTCCTCAACTCAGTCTGGTCCCTGGATCATCAGCATCAACAGTACCTGAGACCTTGTGAGAAATGTAGAATCTAGGGCACTGCCACCCTAGGCCTACAGAATCAGAATCTGAATTTTAACAAGAGCTCAGTGATTTCTATACACATTAAAACTTAAGAGACACTGGTTTAAATCTTTCCCTGGTTGAACTATAAACCTTTATAGGGATCTCCTTCATCTGCCCCAGAGCACATCATAAGGCCTGATACCCAAATGTTTATAAGTTTTATTTATAATTATTATGTATGCGATACATTTTTTAAGTTCCTGGAAGAATATCTACCATATTGTTAAAAAGAGTAGACCATGTGCATTTTTACTTTCTGTAATATTTCGGTTTTTCACAATCACAATGTATGATCTTTATAGGTAGAAACACATGAAGGTCTGGGAAAATAAAAGCTCTAATACATTCATGAAATGGTATATATGTGTAATGGTATCTACTGTAATTTCATTGAGCTATTTTTACAGATACGAAAAGATGGCCAAACTATGTTGTTATTTTTTTTTTACTTTTTAAAAAAAGACTATTTAAGTAACAGTATATATCAATGATACTATATTTGGGGATTTTTTTTTTTATTTGTGAATATGGACACTGAAAGGGTATATATCAGAATATCTCTGATGGAGCTTGCTTCATACTTTTCTACACTTATATTTTTTTCTACAGTTTTCCTATGACTTTTTAAAAAGCATATATATCACTTTTGTAGTAAGAAAAAAGTCATCTTCATTTTAAAAATATCTATACTCTTTATTAAACCTCTTTACATCCAGTGACCCAGATTTTTCCACAGCCCCCGAAGCTGACAGGTCTGGAAGTGCCCGACCATTTCACAGATGAAGGCACTGGGCTTCAGAAACGTAACCCTGATGGCCTGATTCTGGGCGGTCTTCTCCCACCGTGCAGCTACTCCAAGATCAGAGGAATGTGGCAAATCAGGCGCCAGCTTTGGTCAAAACCCCTGTCATTTTAGCAGTCTTGCTATCCCCAGCCACTTACTCTCAGACGGGGTGGGAGAACAACTCCTCAAAGACAAAGCTCTGAGCCTAACTCATGCTGCACCACCTCCCCCTGGTGGCGGGCTCCAGAAACTGTCATGATGGCTTGGAGCTACAGCAGTTGGAAAACAGTGACACGCTGCCCTGACCTCAGATGGTTCGACTGGGGATTTTTCAACTCTTCTGACGCTGCAAAAGGCAATACGTGTCCACCAGAAACCGTACTTCACAAACGTGGGTCTCTTCCCAAGCTGGCGACATGCGGCCCGCTCCTCTCTCGTGATGCTGGGCAGCAGCACACACACCACAGCTCAGTCCGCCCCCAAATCACAAGGGTAAACAACTGACACAGCCATTCGGTGCCCATACATTGTCCTGTTTTTCAATCAATTACAGAGATAGTCAACATTTCATTGTAAAACAGGCCTTGTGTTAGATTATTTTGCCCAACTGTAGGCTAATGTGAGTGTTTGGAGCACATTTAAGGTAGGCTAGACTAACGTTTGGTAGGTTAGGTGTATTAAATGCATTTTTGACTTACAATATTTTCAATTTACGATGGGATTATCAGGATGTAACCCCACTCTAAGTCGAGGAAGAGCTGTACTGTCTTCCATCAATTATCACCTTTATTTCTTTAAATCATCCAGAAGAATCATCTTCCATCAAAGAATCAGGTACTGACACAAGTACACAGAACAGGGCCGGGTGTCAAACAAGCTCAGAGCTCTGGGTGATGCTGAGGGTGGTGCCACACCCCCTCCCCTACCACTTCCGTGGCAGCAGTCCCTACCCCAGTGTTCTCCTGCATTGCCTTTCCTGCATTCTCCCGCCTCCTCCACTCTGGAGCCTAGGAAAGGGCAATGTGCCCTCTCCCTGTGACATCACAGGGAGAGGCCCCAGCATCAGAAGCCAGGAGTCCTCAGGCTCTAGGCACTGATTTTTCAAGTATGTCAGGTTACCATACCAGAAAGCACCAACATCAGTCTTCTACTGTGTCCCCCTAGTTGGCTGGTAAACACACGGCTTCCTTACTCTTCCAGGAAGAAGGAAACATTCAACAGGGTATCTGGAATAGGAAGAGAGAAAAACTGGCATATCACCTCTCCAGAGAACACAAAACATCTGATTTATAAAAAATACAGGGGCACTGCAAGGGCATCTCTGTAATGCTTCCAAAGAAGTGAGACATACAAAGACTGCAGACATGAAGGAATAAATGAAAACCAGTACCTTGTACAAGGCTTTGGTGTTCATCTTCTGAAATTTGGTCCCAGGCCTTGGGCAAAGCTTGGATGTTTGCTAAATCTCCCCACTGGATCGAGGACAGGAGGTACTTCCTCTTCAGGTAACTTCCCGGAAGTTAAGGACTGCTCAAAAAGCAAATGAGGGTGCCTGGGTGGCTCAGTTAAGTGTCTGCCTTTGGCTCGGGTCATGATCCCAGGGTCCTGGGATCAAGCCCCGCACCAGGCTCCCTGCTCAGTGGGGAGTCTGCCTCTCCCTCTACCCTTCCCCCCCTGCTCATGATCTCGCTCCCAAATAAATAAATAAAATATTAAAAAAAAAAAAAAAGCAAATGAAATATGCTGAAGGGGGAAAATGCCCTGGGGGGAGCTACAGGAAGCAAAGAGTGAAAGGGGGGCTATCATTCTATTCACCAGGTGGCAGCACTCACCTACGCCACCCATCTTTACCGAGCACCCCTTCACTCACAGTCCTACGGGGGTGGAGGGATGAAACATCCCCCAACAACCTAGGATCTCACCGTGGTGGGGAAAAAAACCAGCAACTGAAAACAAAGAGTCTCAGTGATATCAAAGAGGACACTGCGGCGCCTACCTCCCACTTAGAGGGCGGCAGGGAGATTCCGGCTGGCAGGAAGAGCATAAGCAAAGACACAGAAGTGGGGAAGCATGGATTGGTTTCAGGGCCAAATCCCCCAATCTGGCCGGCAAGGAAATGTGTGGAACAGTAGGAAAGGTGGCTGAGTCATTTGCAACGACATGGATGGAACTGGAGGGTGTTATGCTGAGTGAAATAAGTCAACCAGAGAAAAACATGTATCATATGACCTCACTGATAGGAGGAATTCTTAATCTCAGGAAACAAACTGAGGGTTGCTGGAGTGGGGGTGGGGCGGGAGGGATGGAGAGGCTGGGTGACAGACATTGGGGAGGGTATGTGCTATGGTGAGCGCTGTGAATTGTGTAAGACTGTTGAATCACAGACCTGTACCTCTGAAACAAATAATGCAATATATGTTAAGAAAAAAAAAAGAAGAAGAAGATAGCAGGAGGGGAAGAATGAAGGGGAGTAAGTCGGAGGGGGAGACGAACCATTAGAGACGATGGACTCTGAAAAACAAACTGAGGGTTCTAGAGGGGACGGGGTGGGGGGATGGGTTAGCCTGGTGATGGGTATTAAAGAGGGCACATTCTGCGTGGAGCACTGGGTGTTATGCACAAACAATGAATCATGGAACACTACATCAAGAACTAATGATGTAATGTATGGTGCTTAACATAACAATAAAAAATTTTTAAAAAAAGGCATGTAATCAGTGCTCAGTACTGTTGGTTGCAGCTCTGTGAAAAACACAGGCTGATTATCTTACTCTTCTTCTCAAAACCTCTGAATAGCTTTCCATCTCACTCAGAGCAGAAGTCAAAATCCTTTCAAAAACCTCCAAGGCCCTAAAGGTCCGGCCCTATCTCCCTGACCATGTCTCCTGTTAGGCTCCCCCTCCTCACTCTAGTCTAGCGCCAATGGCATCCAGACTATTTTTGGAACATATTAGGCATGAACTTAACTCAGGGCCTTTGCACATGATGTTTCTTCTACCTGGCACACGCTTCCCCCAAATATCACCTGGTTCTCTCCCTCGCCTCTAGGTCTTTTCTTAAATGTCACTATCTGTGAGGCTTCTCCTGACCACCCTAATTAAAATCACAACTCCACCCTCCCCCTCACCTGCCCTGCTTTATTTTTCTCTAAGTTCAGAGACCAAGGAGAACTGACCTATACTACATAGTCATATAATCTCGTGAAAACCGAAATTAAAAAGATTTCCTGAAGCAGCTCTGGACACTGAAACGTGTGCAAAGGATACGAATTTCGATAATGTCTCTCAATATCCTGCAACCATTCCAACATGTCAGCCACAGAAGGGCTGACCACTGAAGCCTGCAGAACAGCATCAATGCCAATCGAGTCTGCATGCTGCTCATAGATCTCAAGCACCTGCTCCACGTGCCTGCTGACGGTGTCACGCACCTTGAGGAGGGTGGCTCTGGGGGGAAAAAGGCTATTAGACAACACCACGAGAAGGCCTGAGGCAGGATTCCTCAACCTCAGCACACTCACATTTCGACCTGGATGGTTCTTTGTGGTGAGGAGCTGCCCTGTGCATTTTAGGGCGCTGAGCAGCATCCTTGGCCACTACCCACTAGATGACAGGAGCAAACCATGCCCCATCCTCCCCAAGTTGTGACGATCAATAATGTCTCCAGATACTGCCAAATGTCCGAATGGGAAAAATTGCTCTGGGTGCACACAGACTACTGCAGATTTTAGGAAAGTTACTTATCCTCAGTCGTGTATAAAAACGGTCTGTTTTGCTCACTGCACACCCTAAGTACCTAGAATACTGAGATTGGCACATAGAACGACAAACACTTGTCCAATGAATGAATGAGTGAAAGGGTTCTTGTGAAGATTAAATGCAATAGTGCTTATAAGGTGCTTAGGGAAGTGCCTAGCTCACGGTCAGTATTGTTATTATTCCACTGGTGACTCCAAGGGACCCAGCCACCGAGAAGGCCACAACTTCCCAGAGGGCAAAGCATGCCTTAACCTAGAATTGTGGCTTTCAAAATGTGTGGCCACAATTAAAAAAAGAGATTTAAAATAACAGCCCAATACTCACACACAAAAATATGCCATCAACTAAAATAAAAGTTCACTACCTCAGAACATACCACAACATAATTTGACAGTCTCTCCTCTAATCAGCTAAGAAACTAAGTCTGGTTCATTTTTATATTCCCAGCACCTTGCGCTTGGCATCCCATAGGTGCTTAGTTATTTTGTACAAATGATTACACAGAAGGTCCCCACATTTGACCATTTCCCATTAGTCTACGGCACAGACTATATACACCAGAAACTTCTTTTGTTCTAGTCAAGAAAAGGCCTATGTGCGGGGCGCCTGGGTGGCTCAGTTGGTTAAGCATCCGACCTGTGATTTTGGCTCAGGTCATGATCTCATGGGTCATGAGATGGAGCCCCATATGGGGCTCTGTGCTCAGTGTGGAGTCTGCTTGAGATTCTCTCTCCCTCTCCCTCTGCCCCTCCCCCACTTGTGCTCTTTCTGTAAAGTAAATAAATCTTAAAAAGAAGGAAAGAAACAGAGAGAGAAAGAAAGGAAGGAAGGAAGGAAGGACGGACGGAAAGGCCTATGTGCCAGGTCTCTTGTCTATCCTCGATACTTACAACTGTAAGATAGAGGGTCTCACGTCAGAGTTTAACTGTTTAACAGAGTTAAACACTAAGAGTTTAGAGATGTACTATTACTGGCACAGAGACACCAATGTACAGCAGAACAGAGTGGTAGTTGAACACTCTGGCCTTGGTGTCAGGCAAACTTGAGTTAAGACTCCCAGCTTTACCATTTACTAGCTGTGCAACCACAGGCAATCTGGGCCTGTTTCCTCACCAGCAAAATGGGATTAAGTGTGGTTAAGTCAGAGGTGTTGAAAAGATTTTATATGAGAATATATGTAAAACCCTTAGCTCTAGCACCTACTAAGTTTAAAGTACAATTCCTCACTGCTTTTGACAAAAGAAGACTATAGAGAAGGCCTTATTAAGCTTTCTCGATTGCTTTTCTTTTCCACTTTTGTAACTTCTACTGAGACCACCACTGCCGTGCCCTACGTGACAAGGGAAATGCCATAAAATGAGTTTTTAAAAAAAGACTGATTTATTTATTTGAAAGAGGGAGAGTCTCAAGCAGACTCTGCCCTGAGTGCAGAGCCCAACATGGGGCTTGATCTCACCGCCTGAGATCACGACCTGGGCCAAAACCAGGAGCCGGAAGCCCAACTGACTGCACCACCCAGGCACCCCATAAAATGACTCTGACAAGAGGTCCCATTGCAACAAGCAAGGTTGAGACACCTCCAAATACCATGTTCTCAAGTAAAGGGAAAAACACTCTTCTGACTGATCCTCGCTACTTATTAAACACCAAGTTTTTCAGATCTTTCCGCCAAGAAGGAGTGGCATCGAACTCTTACAGCCTCTCCCCTAACTTGTCCAAGACAGTGTCGCCAGCCGCCAGCTGCTTGCGCCTCAGCCGCTCTTTTAAGTCTGGGAAGGCCCGAAGTGGAGGCACGTCCCCAAACCGCAGATTGTGGGCCGCCTGCAGCTGCTCTGCCAGGTTGCTGAGGGAGGCCAGGAGGGGCTGGCTGTCCCTCAGCGTGCTCTGCCACAGGCCCTGCTGCTCCTCCACCACGGGAAAGCACTTCCTCAGGGCCTCGTGCACAGCAAGCAAAGGCTGGTCTTGAGTCATCTTCTGCCGAGATAAACAAACAACAGAAAGAAAAACAAAACAAAACAAAAAACACCATTAGGGTCTCAAGTCGGAAGGGGAAGTAGTGGGCCCAGTGATTTCCGTGCGCAAGTGAGGTCCCGCTAAACCAGGGTCTCCTCACCAAGGACTGTGTATCCCTTCCGACAGGACGTCCTGACGCGAGGCGTTGTCTTACCTTTAGAGGGGCTCCGGAGGCCGGGCCTTGGTTTCCCACCTCCGGGAGGGCTTCCCGACCAGCCCTCGGAGGAGGTTCGCCCGCGGCTCGAGTAGTCTCCAGCTTCAGACTGCGGATTCCCCGGGCCGAAGCGCTGTCTCCGAACCCGTACTTCCAGAGCCAGAATCTTGTCTCCTTTCCCGGAAACTGCCGGTAGCTTTCCCTAAACCAGCGGGAAAACTTTAAGCTAACTCCCTCAAACTTTGAGGACCCGCCAGGGCCGCCACCCAGCGCCCGCGGTCTCTTTGCGCATGCCCTAACGCAGCTACCGAGTCGCGAACGTATGTCGTAGACCGCAGTGCCTTCTGGGTGCGGTAGTCCTACGTGTGCACCGGCGGCCGGGCCGCGGAGCTTCCTTGTGATTGGATGCTATGGGACCCTCCTAAGACGGCGACTTCTCATTCGTCAGTCTGTGGCAGTTTGAATTTGGTGGCGGCCGTCGCACGTCCGGTTAGGCACGGAGCTGCTCCCTCCCCTCAGCTGGAGCGGCGAGGTTTTTCTCAACCCGTTTCGTGACCCGCAGGTACGTGCCTCGCGACTCCTTTATGCTCGGGTCTGCAAGGGCAGGGCCCCCCCATTAGCCCCGTGGGGCGCCCTTCCGCCCTCTCCCGCTCCTCCGCGGCCCCCTTTCTCTCCCTCCCCAACCTCGGCCGCTGACCCCCCCAGTGGCTGCATCCCCCGCTCCCCTCAGCCTCCACCCAAGCGCCATGGCTCCGGCTAGGAAGGGCGGCAGTCGGGTGGCCAAGACCAACTCGGTTCGGAGCCGGAAGCTGGCTTCCTTTCTTCGGGACTTCGACCGTGAAGGTAGGGGGCGGAGCCCGGGGCGATCGCGGGGTGCCGGCGGGTTGGGGTGCGGGCAGCACGGGTTCCAGGCCCCGTTCACCCGCCAGTGACCCGTGTTCTGTCGGCTTGGCCCTCTCGCAGTGCAAATACGATCCAAGCAAATTCAGTCGGACAGGCAGAACCTCCTCAAGGAGATGGATAACCTGTACAACATCGAGATCTTGCGGCTCCCCAAGGCGCTGCGCGAGATGAACTGGCTCGACTACTTTGGTAAGAGCTGCTCCTGTTTCCCCAGGCCTCGGCCTGGGGCGCCTCTGTGGTCACCTGAGTGAGGTCTTCAGGATCACTTTAAGGAAATTGCAGCCTTACCGCTTACCCCGCTCCTTATCTCACTTCCTTGCTTTACCTTTCTGCAGAGTACTTAACGTCATCTACCCCTGCAGGTAGGCGAACGTCTTCTGTAAAGGAGCAGATAGCAAATACTTGAGGCTTTCTGGGCTAGAGGGTTCTCTATTGCAGCTACTCAACTCAAGCTGTTATATGTCCAGAACAGCTGTAATGAATGGGCAGGTATGTGTCCCAGTAAAATGTATTTATGGACACACTGAAAAGTGAATTTTGTGTGAATTTCATGTGTCACAAAACACACACTCTCTCTCTTTTAAATATTTTTGTCCAATCATTTAAAAACAAATAAATGAATAACTTGGTTTGCTACCAGAGCTCAGATGGGAGGATAACCGCCCAAGCAGTGCTTTCTGCATCTTATGGAAACTGTCAACTAAAAAATGAGCAAATCAAATTGTGAAGTGCAAGGACTCTATTCTTTCTGGCCAGAGAAAAATTGCAGCCTGTTCTCCACTCCCTTGTTAAATGTCCAAGGACATGCAAGAGGCTTTCATTTCTGCTGGGTTACCCTTACTTTTCCTATTTTCCTTATTATTACCCATTACGTAGGCTCCTTCCTGAATAGAAATGCGCGTTCTATTCAAATAGATATTTAATGATTCTTTGACTTGCCCTTTTATTTGCATGTTTCTACAAATATTCATTGAGCATGTCTCAGTCACAATGCTAGGGGCTGAAAATGCTTTGGGAAATAACACTGATGTTGCCTACCCTCAGGAGCTTATGAGTTCGTAGAGGAGGATCCTTTTAAAAGTGCACACGTGATTATTATATTATTATATTATTATTATATAGTCAGAATTATAAGTACCAGAAAAGGGAAAGAGTAGTGGTCAGTAGGTACATTTATATAGTGCTTCCTATGCCAGACAGGTATTATCCTGAGTGTATTGCATATGTTAACTAATTGTATGTTCATAACAAAAGGTATTCATTGTTAACATTGTTCCTCTTTTGTAGATGACAAAATTAAGGCACAGAGAGGTTGGTTACTTTGCTCAAGGTCTCATAAGCTAGTTAGTAGCAGAGTGTATTTAAACCAGGCATTCTGGTTCAAAGTGTGAATTCTTAACCGTTCTACAGGACACTATGAGAGTTTCTGAAGGAGGCTTAACTGAACTTTATTCTACATCTACAACTTGCACAGACCTCTTCATTCAACACACATTGGCTACATACCTACCCCATGCCATATCTTTGCCCGAAACTGTCTTCAAGGAATTCAGTTCAAGGCAGGGTGGACACTTAAACAGCTCTGAGTAGTTGTTGGGTATGATGAGGGTGAGCAACTAGCTCAGCACTTCGGCGCAATCTGTTGTGATAGAAAAATAAAGACTTTTGGATTTGAACTGAATTTCGAAAGATGAATTAGAAATTTGTCGGGCGCAGAGGAGCATTTCTGGTAGAGGAAATAATAAGTGCCAAGGCACAGAGTCATGAGAGATGGTGGCACGTTTGGGAAATAAGGACTTGGGTGTGGTGGGACCTAGAATATGTGATAAGGCGGCCAGCCAGATGTGGAGAAAAATTAAACAAGGTTGTAAAGTTCCTTGAATGTTGAAGCCAGGGCTTAATCTGGTCCAGTTCTAGACAGATAACGGGTTATATCAGGGAAGATGGTTTATCATTAAGATCTGAGAGTAACTAAATAAAATGTTCTTTTTAAAGCCCTTGGAGGGAACAAACAGGCGCTGGAAGAGGCAGCAACAGTAAGTGATCTGTCCTAATTTGGAACTGTGGTTAGTTTTTAAGTTTAATCCTGTCACAAAGTCCAACCAGAGGGTGCTTACTATGGAAGCGGTTTTGCAGGGGACATACCCTGTTTGTGTCAACTGAAGATCTATGGTGGTCAAATGCTGAGTCCGTGAAGCCCAAATACTGTCAAGTTCTACAGAGGGAGGCAGTTCTGTTATTGGCAGGTTCCTTGTAGCTCTCTGCCCTGACCTCTCAGGCAAAGCAGAAGCCTCAAGCCCAAGTCCCTCTAAGCCCCTGGGTCATTACCTAATGGCCTGGTCTGCTAGGTGTCAGAGACCCCAAAAATCTACATCCTTCTATGCGTTATTAGAATCTCTTGGAATCTCAGGGTTTGAAGGGACCTGACTACCAAGGATTCATAGTAGCATGGAATAGCAGATCTCCACTGGCCTCAGAAGTTACAGGTGTTTCAGAGCCAGTTGTTCAATCAGGAAAAAGAGAATTTGGGGGTGAATATTGTAGGAGAGGAGTGGGGAATCACTGAAAAATAAAATCAAGAGCTAGTAAAACATTCTTAGTTCTGGCTTTCTCTTTCTTTGTAATATGTTCCTGCCTCCACCCCCCAGATCTAATGTTTCAAAAGACTTACCTCTGAGGTGAATTATACTCATTAGCTAATGCATCACCCTCTTTTTAATTAATCAGACATATAGAACTACAAATCAGAGAGCTTCTAATGTAATATGAAATAGCCAGTATCATCATACCAAGCTGAGAGAATTGTAGCCTTAGCTAATATGATTTAGAACTCAGGAAAGGATTGACACTTTGGCACAAAAGTTCATAAAGATTAGGTATGTGGCGGTCTCCCAAGACCACTTCCAGGAAGACTCAACAGGGCTCAGCATATAGTCATACTCATGGCTATGATTTATTACAGTGAAAGGATACAAAACAAAATCAACAAAGGGAAAAGGTGCCTGAGCACCTGGGTTCAGAGGAAACCAGGTGCAAGCTCCCAAGAGTTCTCTCCCAGTGGAGTCACATGGGACACCTTACTTCAACACATGTGAAATGTTTTCTATCAGGAAAGCTTATTAGAGACTCAATGCCCAGGATTTTTATTGGGGGCTGGTCACATAGGCATCTTCTGCCTAGCATGTACCAGAATTCCAGACTTCCAGGAGGAAAGCAGGTATGCAGCATAAGCCATGTTGTTTGTACAAAGCTTAGGCCCAGAGAGCCACTCTAACCAGGGAATGGTGGGAACCCTAAAATCCAAGTTCTCATGCAAGCCACCAGCCCATCCGTGCAAACAGGCCCTTCTATGGATATCTGTCTTAGGCCTGTTAACTCTTCTGCACGAAGGTGATCAGTGGCCTGCCACCACCGATACCTTCATAACATGCCAGTTATTTCTAGAGATGGCACATAGTTGGCCACTATCTATTCCATCAGCCATTTCAGACCTCGCTCATCTCCTTGAGCTCTGTTTCTTGCTAAGATTGGACAGCCTCAGAATGCTCCTCTGAGCACTCCATGGAGTCCCTACCAGTCTGGAGATGAAACCTGTCATCCCTAGTCTATAACAACTCTTCTGATATTTACATGTGCCCTGCAAGGAAAGGCATAGAATCATGTCTGCTCATGGCTATTCTCATTCACATAGGTAGTCACCACTGGGAACACATTTAATTAGAATGGCAGCGACTAGAAGCCTTTTTGAAGGGCCCGTGGGTGCAACAGAAAACCTTATTGACTCTAGACTGGAAGAAAGTCTAGTACAGCACCAATTGTAGAGAATGTGAGTCATTAGCAACTTGTATTGTTTGCCGATGGGACATAATGAAGTGCAACCACTTTGGAAAATGATGTGGCATAATAGGTGGAACAACCCTCCAGTGCTCCATCCCTACAGCCAAGAGAGAACTTGGGCACATGCATCAGACACATGTAGAAGATGTTTGGAGTAGCAAAAGACTGTTGACAGGAGATTGGAGAAATTCATTGTGATAGAGTCACACAGTGGGATGCTACATGGCATTGAAAAACAAATGAACTACAACAACAAATAGTGGTCAGAAGCGAAACCAAATAAAATATTATTTAAGCACATATATGTTTGTTAAAAAAAAAAACGCAACAAAATACACACACGCTTTCTTTTAAGCAAATGGAATGATAGTGGTCACCTGTGGAGGAAGACAAGGAAATAGAACAGGGAAGAATATGGAGCTAGAAGCAAGTAATCAGCAGTGTTTTAGCTCTTGGGTTGTATTGTGCATTTATAGGAGTTCACTATATCATGTTATGACTAATACATAACAGTCTTTTGCATGTAATAAATAATGTTTTTGAAATTAATTGTTTTGAGTCTTAAACTGTTCCCCATATTTGATGGAATATGCCTGGTGTTTTCTGACTGTGTTTGTCATAGGCCGACCTGGATATCACAGAAATAAACAGACTAACAGCAGAAGCTATTCAGACACCCTTGAAATCTGCCAAAAGTGAGTACTTTTTAGAACCCCTTGTTGAACTGGGAGAGTGGAGGCCAGGTGGTTGGCTGGCTGCTCAGAGGCCTCAGTGGTGGGGCCTCTTCCCTCTAATGCCTGGTCCTCGGTCTTGCAAATCCAAGAATGTGACTTTGGCCCGCTGCATTGAGTTAATTGTATGCAGGACTAATAGTGCGCAAGCTCCCGGCCAATGTGGGAGCAAGAGAGAGAGTGCAAGGAGAGGGAAAGCTGTGTGGGAGCCATGACTGCCATCAGCTGCTCCAGTTAAAGAGCTTGGTGGGCCTGAGAGGCGTTCCGGAACATGGTGGTAAGGCCCGCTGAGGCACTCCCATCTGATCAGGATGGTTGAGAGAGAATTGTGAAAGGGCTGGTATCCTCCAGGCGCCACCCCACGTTCCTGGATTCAGTGCCCTGCTGCGGAAAATCATCTCTCCCACATGCCCCACATTCTGAGAAATGCTGTCCTAGAGGGAACGTGTTTGGGAAGCCCAGGACAGGATGCGCTCTGTTACAGACTTTATGTTACTGTCATTAAGCTTTCATAGCTCAGTGCGTCCACATCTTGCGAGGACAGGCCTGACCCAGGGCCTGGATTTTGGGGCTGCCCTGGTCAAACCAGGGCACTTTTCCACTGGGTTGGGCCAGAAGCACTGTCCAGTTCTCATTCCATCTTGCTTCCCATCCGAGTGGCCTTGTAGCGTGAGGAGAGCGTGAGGGTTTTGCTTTGCCGGTGTCATGTCCCAGTGCCGCCTCCATGAGGCGATGACATGATTGGACTCAGGTGTTCCTGGAGCTCCTCCTAGTTACAGTCTTTTAGTTCACTTTGGCTTATCTCCACATTTAGGTAATACGGGTTTCTTTGCTGGATTCCACAAGTTTTGCTCAAGCGCTGGTGGAGGGGGTCTTCTGATTTCATCCCTGGGAACAGACACACCAGGACCCAAGTCAGCCAACAGTAAAAATTGTTTTTGTGCCCTCTTGACCACTGGGCTTTGATTACATTATAAGCTACTTCCAAAAAGAAAAAGGAAAAAAAAAAGATAAATATATTATTTAATGTGTCAGGAAGTAAAAAGCTAAAAATTTGTCTCGTCTGATCCCCCACCCCACTCCATGATCAGATGCCTGAATTTTCTCTGTGGACTCCCTGCTCAAGATTGGCTGGCTCATGGTTGTACAGATTAGCAGTGAGACACTAACTTTTATCACTAAACAGCTGCGGTGCTTAGAAAGTTTTTTCTAATCTATGTAAATGATATTTTATTGTAATAAATAAACTTTTTTTTAAAAAAGTAATTTATTTGACAGAGAGAGACACAGTGAGAGAGGGAACACAAGCAAGGGGAGTGGGAGAGGGAGAAGCAGGCTCCTGGCTGAGCAAGGAGCCCAATGCAGAGCTCCATCCCAGGACCCTGGGATCATGACCTGAGCTGAAGGCAGACGCTTAACGACTGAGTCACCCAGGCACCCCTGTAATAAATAATACTTCTTATAACATGTGTCCAGTACTGTCCAAAGGGCTTTATGTTCATTCATTCCACAGACACTTAAACACTTACAACTCTAGGGGAAATGAAACAAGAGTAACAAAGATGCTGTTCTTGTGGAGCACATCCCAAGTCTCATAATACCCCTATGAAGTGACTACTCCCTTTTATAGATGAGGAAACTGAAGCAGCACAGTGAAAGCCCCATGACTTGGGCAGTGCTAGGACTGGGCCTCACACTCAAGTCTAGCAGAGTCCAGCATCTGCGCTCTCACCGGAACGCTGGGCATCACATGGGCTTCGTTAACCAGTCTGGTTAGTTTTCTCTGTCTAAACCCTCTTTTAAAAAAAAAAAAAGTCATCTTGTTTATATTCAAAGTCTATTTCTTGATTACAGCCTAAGATTGCATATGTTTTATTTCCTGTAAGAAACGTGAATGCATGAAAGTTTATTCCTATGAGAAAGATCACTTTGTTAAAACTGTTTCTTATAGCACGAAAGATAATGAAAGTGGATGAAGTGATAGTGGAAGAAGAAGAGGAAGAAAATAAGAACAAGAATCTTCAAACTGCAAGAGTAAGTAGGCACTCGGGTTTGGGGCTAGGAGCTGACAGGAGACAAGGAAACAAAAATACCTAATCTCCTCTTGCCCAACCCCACCTGCCAGAGTTCACTGTTTAGTAGAGAAGAACCCATTTAAATGGCTCATAACAAAAGCGATCAGAGAAGTGTGTATAAAGCACATAGAAGGCAGAAGAGGAAGCTATCAAATTTTACCTCCCCGCTTAGGGTACACCCAGGTCTTTAAAAGTGAGGGAGATTTCACTAGTTGGAGAAGAAAGGGAAGGGAAGCCCAGGAGGAGATAGGAAAGTTCCTTCAAGTTCCATTTGAGGAACAGGGAGCTGTTGGGGATGACAGGGCTGTAAGCTGTGGGTGATCTGCGTACAGGAAGGCCCGACGATGAATGGCCTTGTGTGCCAAGCTCGGAGGTTTCCATTTCATCAGGTTGGTCATGGTGAGTCACAAATGGGAGAGGGGAAAAACCGGAGACAAGGAAACCAGTTGGGAGGCTGTTGTAATTCTTAAACTGAGGCCCAGATCCTATACACAGAGAAGGGATGGTTTTGACAAATGTGAGCAGGACCAGTGGAGGAAGGGAGGACGCGGGGATGACTGATCCGTCTCTAGCTTAGGCTCGCTTCATCCGTGGAAGGCGGCCCACAGGAGGAAGAGCAGTGCTGGGTTCAGGTGAAGGCGAGCAGCCAGGGTGCCAATTACTTGACATGTCGAGGGATCTATCCTCTTCTGACATTTCAGCCTGGAGCTCAGGAAGGAGTAGGAGATAGAGGCACACTGACTCCCAGCGTGGGCGTCAATGAGGTTGTGCAGAGAGGGCGTGGAGGGGGAGGCTGAGGATGGGCACCTGGGGGGAAGCTGGAAGGAGGAGCTCACGCGCGGCCTGTGCAGGGACAGCCAGAGCAGCAGGGAAGATTAGGCACCCCGGGATGGCCTGAGTGACCTTCACAGCAGCATTTCATGGGGGAGCGATGGGGGGTCCCGGCCAGGCTGCAGTCAGTTTAAAAGAGATTTACCTTGAATCTTGGCCAAAACCCTCTACTTTGAAGACCCAGGTGGTGGAAGTCCTTAATTGATCGGTCACATTCCGTATTACTTAAGCCACTTACTTCTGGGAGATAGAACTCATGTTCATCAACCCCAATTTCCGGAGTGGGTCCCCCTCCCCTCCTTTTCTTACTTACCCTTTATCCTCCCTCACTTTCCCCTTTTTGGGGCTTTTTATAACCACAGTGTCATTTGATTGTGAATCCAGGTCAAAAAGTGTCCTCCATCCAAGAAGAGAACCCAGTCCATACAAGGAAAAGGCAAAAGCAAAAGGTGACGGGTTTTCCAAACGTCCGTGTGTGTTTTGGTGTTATTGGAGAGCCCCATCCCTCATGGCAGAGACGGGGGTGAAAGGGTTCTTGTGGCTTGAACTTGAGTCTCCAAGCCGGACGGGCCTCTAGAAATGATCTGACCCAACACGTTCTCCAGTTCTGCCCACGTCCTCTATCCTCCCCGACTTTTTTTGTTTGTTTTAATGCCACCAGGGAGAGTGAAGACCAGAAACCTATCATAAGTGCTGCAAATTTTGTTCATTTGCCTGACAGCCCACATGCAGAGCTCCCCTGCGGCCAGTCACAAAGTGGCTTTCACCTACCTACTATAGTTGTTTCTTCAAGTGTTCCTCTTGGTCCTAGTCAGTTAAGAATCACCATCGACTTGAACTAATTATGCTGGGCCCTGCTAAACCATTTGGGATGGGGCCTGGAGGCCGCATCTCAAGAAGGTTAGAATGTAGTGGCTGGGATGTGTGTCTGTGAAGGAGACTCTCCCTGAGCGGTGGTGGGTGCCTCGAAAGAGGACAGGAACTCTGGCTGAGGGGCCTGCAGGGTGTCGAGAGGCTGTCTCCTTCCTCCTGTTCCGTTAGCCTGACTGAGAGGCCGGACTCTGGAGGCTGACTGCCCAGCTTCAGAGTTCTGGCCCCACCCTCATGGGCTGTGTGATCCTGGCCAAGTTGTTGGACTCATTATGCTCGAGTTTCTGCGGCTGTAAATGAGGATCACAGCCGTGTGTCCCGGGTTGCTGGGAGGGTTGCACGAGTTAGTGTGCATGAGGCGCTCGGAACGTAGCCACATGGTCAGTGCCCTCCATGTGGGACCTGTGCACCTAATGGCCTCTTCTCACCTGCAGGTCAAGCCATTATAACACTGTCACCCCAGCTGTGGGCCGGCTGGAGTTGTCTATGGTGAAACCAACTCCAGGCCTGACCCCCAGGTTTGACTCGAGGTGAGTAATGGGGGCAGCGCCTGCATCTGGGTGGGAGCCCAGCAGTTCACCTCAGTCCATAAGAAGGGCATGTGGGAAAACACTCAGCTCCTTGGCCCGGCAAGCCCTCTTGGAAGAGGGTAGCTGTCTGGGCTTCCTAGTGTCTGCCTCTCCCCTGAGTGCAGGTTCACCTGTTTTCAGCGACAAAATGAGTCTTTATTTGATGAGAGGAGAACATTCTGCCTCTGAGGACTAGGAGGCCTCTAGTGACTCTCGTTCTGCCTTTTCTGTTTCTGACCAACAAAAATATTTTTTCAAAATGGGTAGGTACTCTCCTATACCCTTGGTAAGAGTGAGAACAGGCACCACGTCACACCAGGGAGACTAATGTGACCCGGGCTGGAAGCTAATGTCTTCCACCAGGCTGGTCAACTGGGTAGGAAATGCTCTGGGGCCATAAAGAAGCAGTTCTGTATGTGCTGATGGAGCAGCGTTGTGACCACGGGCGTCTCCAAGCACGCGGCACGACAGCGTGTCCTAAATGATCCCGTTTGTGTCTATATACAGAGACTGTTTCTGGAAGGCATGAGGAATTGAAAGTCGGGATCTCTGGGGTGAGGAGAGGGAGGAAGACTTCTTTTAATTCCCACTCTTGAACTGTTTTTTCACGTGTGCATAAAGCAAAGGACATTTAGAGAAAAACAGGTAGCAGGATTTTAACTGTCTTGAGAAAGTTTCTTTGGGAATTAATGTAATGATGTAATCTCTGAATCCTCCTTTTTTGACCCTGGAAAATTCCTCTTGCTGGAAGCACTTAGCCACTCTTGGAAGTGCATTAACCATAGTTTATTTCTAGCTCTGTGGCTGGATGGATGACTGGTGTCCATGCAGAGCTTGGGACCTAAGATTTCCATGGATAAGAGCTGACTTTGGCTAGATGCGTGTTTAATCATTACACGCTCCCTTCTCCAGCTGTGTGTAGTCATTATCGTTTAAAAAGACTTTTTGCCCTAAATTTAGAACTCGCCTTCTTAGAAATGCAGGATTTGAAAACTACAGCTTGAGGCCAGATGGGGGTTGGAAGAGCTCATGGCGCCTTGTGTCACTCACTCTGCCAAGCCATCTTGACAGAGATCTTCCCACTTCGCAGGGTCTTCAAGACCCCGGGCCTGCGTACTCCCGCAGCCAGAGAGCGGATCTACAACATCTCCGTGAATGGCAGCCCTCTTGCCGACAGCAGAGAGATTTTCCTCACGGTGCCAGTGGGCGGTGGAGAGGTGAGCGTCTCACAGGGAGGCCGGCCCGCCACGCACAGCTCCCTGGGCATTTCTTGCCTTGGCCCATCACCCACTCCTCACCCCCACAGTCCTTTGGGTCACATGGATCCTGATGTGCACATTTCTGCGGGACTCCGAACCAGTTTTGTCACCCCGGCTGGAGGCCCAGGCTGGGATCCTTGCCTGGCTCCATGTTCCGTTTGTTCATCAGCTAACATTTGGCCACCTGCCTTATGGCAGGCCCCAGGTGTAGACGACATGATTCCTGCTCTTGAGAAGCCGTTCAGTAGTCGAGATAGGTTCACAGTCACGTCTAGGGTCACAGGACAGGTGCAGTAAGGGAGATACTAAAGGGAGTGCAGAGGAAGGCAGCATCAGGGGGTGTGCTCTAGGAAGGGGAACATGAGCTGTGTCTCCCACTCTGGATAACTTGGAGGAGTTCTGACGTGGGCTGAGCCCAGTTGCCCTGAGCTGGGTAGAGCAAGTTGCGGACCTCGGGTCCTAGGAGGGAAGGAAGGTGTATCTCAGATATGTCTGCAGGGCATGTCTAAGCTAATGTCCGTGCCCTTAGTCCCCGGCTGGGCCAGCCACGGGCCAGTGAGAACAATGATGTCATTATCTCCTAACTGCCTCGCCACTCCCCGCTCCCCCTGCCCAAAAGTGCAGGATATCAAGGGGACCCGTGGGGCACGCTGAGGCACTGGGTGCAGGGTCCTGCCTCAAGGGACACGGCAACTGAACCCACTCTGCTCTCCACACAGAGCATGCGATTACTGGCTAGTGACTTGCAGAGGATGGACATCGCACAGCTGGACCCAGAGGCCTTGGGAAACATCAAGAAACTCTCCGTGAGTCTTGTAACCCTCCGCAAAACAGGATACCTCCAACAGCTTGCTGTCCTTAGGATTGTCTTTTTGGCCTGGGCTTCATACTTAGCATTGTGCTGTCGTCTTTCCCCCAAGGGATTTTAGCAGCACTTCTGTCCCTGAACTGATGTTGCCTTTCAGTCTGTCCCGGGGTGCCTGCCGCAAAAGTTCCACAGCAGAATCAAAATTCTGCCTCGTTCGGGCAGTTGGTGCCATTAATGCGAAGGCGTGATCGACTGCCGGGGAGGGAAGCTTCCTGGAGGGAGGGGCTTGTTCCCAGGAGTCCCGCAGAATCAAAGAAAGCACTGAACAGCCAGGCCCCTGGAGCCGTGGGACCTTCGGTGACAGGCGTTTAGGGAGCCCCATTCTGGTGCGCCGGCTCCCGTAGCGCCTCTGTCTCAGGCCCCCCATGCGTGCACGTGTGTGACACTCCGTCATCCCTCCCTCTCCACAGAGAACCCCCTCCGCGCCCCGGTGCGTTCTCCTTCAGTACTGGCTTGCACGCGGCTTCCGGCAGCCACACTGCCAACCCTGACGTCGCTGCCCTCATGCCCAGCACTGACTGTCCAGCTTCTTGGCTCCCCTGAAATCCTCAGGAGGGGGACTGAGTTGGTTCAGCTTTGGTCAGATGGGCCCCTGTGGTCCAGTCAGTGCCGTCCCAGGTGGGGGATGGGAGCCCTCCGTGCAAACACGGCTGCCCCCGGCGCCCCCCTCTGCGGGGTCTGGGAAGGGTACAGCCAGGGAAGCCAGCCCGGCGCCGAGGTCCCACACGTACCCGGCCACCCAGATCTGGTGACGTTCATCCCCTTAGCTGCAGCACCAGCACTGCCGGCTCATCTGAGGTCTTAGTTTACTCCTGTGTTCAGACGAGAAGTGGGGATTCGGGCCAGTTCATTTGTTTGGGGTACAGAGAACGGAGGGCTGAGCTCACTCAGACTTGCCGACCCCAAATCCAGTGTCACCCAAGGAGAAGTCTCGAAGCGGCTACCAGGCAGGCATGGCCAGTGCTGACTTCGCTCGGTGACCCGCCTCTTCCCTTTGTAGAGCCGCCTCGCCCAGATCTGCAGCAGCATACGGACTCACAAATGAGGCCGCTGCGCCGCGAAGCCAAACCTGACTCGATGGACCCTCAACGGGCACTTCCGGGACTCTGAGGAGACCTCTTCCCTTCCGGCTGTTTGTTTGTGTGTGAAGTTCCAGAGCAGGGAGTGGTGTTCCTCTGGGAGAATTTGGGAAGTGGGGAGACACGCTGCTCCCCCATCGGTTAGGTAAAGCTTTGTTGCTCACGCCTCCCAACCCCACTGCCTGCTGCATCCGTGCAGCCGAGATTTCCTGTCGTTCTCCCGGCAGAATTCTCCTTCCTGCTCTCAGAGCTGCCGCCTTCTGCCTCGTGTAACCCGGCATCCTCTCTGTCCTCCGGTGGCAGTGGCGTGGGAGCACCTCATGTCCCCAGGAAGACTGCCTGCTCCCCCTCCTCAGAGAACCCTCTGCATCTGCCATTTCCGCTCCGTGTTGCTCGAGGCTGGGAGTTTTAGGCTCAGAGAAGGGAGAGCTCTCTGAGGGGAGAGGACAGGTCCAGAGAGCTGGGAGGAAGCATACAAATGGGGACAGGACAGCAGATTGGGACGTGTCCCAGCAGTGGCCACCGCTGAGCCCATCTCAGCCCGGCGGCCCCCATCCCTGCTTTCCGCTGTGGTGGATACTAAACGGGGCTTCGGGATCTAACACCCGCTGTGCCCAGTAGTTTTTTCCAAGCTGACTTGTGGAACCGCGGTTTGTATTTATCCCTTTACCGAAGACCAAAAACTGGTTTGGAGGCAGCTTCCATGTCTGGCACCTCTACCTCTCTAGTTGGTAGGAATTTGGATAAGAGCATTCTAGGGCTTAGCTTAGTCTAGGGTTTTATGTGACCAGCTGCAGAGGAACTATCTCTAAGCTCTCCGTGGTCCAGTGGTCCCTGCCAGGTCCACAGACTTTGCAGAGAGCACTTCCCTCGTATGGGGTTCATTGGGGGGCAGGTATAAATTGCCTGGTGGCCTCATTCCACATGTTTGGCCTGTGCCCCGGGCATCAGCTAGTTTCTCCATACCTCGGTCCCTGTACCCCAGCCTGTACCTCTGCCCTGGCGAATCATGAGATGTGGTCCAAAAACATGGGAACTGGGAGTTCACTGTGTCCTCCTGTGTGGCTGTGTTCTACTCCGTGTGTCACGTTGCTCTGCGACCCACCTAGCAATCCAGTCCTGTAGCTGTATTCCTTGTTTCAAGTTGTTTTATTCTCCCTTTCCTGAAACTTGTGCATATCGTGTTCCCGATTAATGGCATCTTTTAAGCTGTTGTAATTAGGGCTACTGAAAGGTACCCGTTTTCAATAAATTGTGGGTTTGTTTTTAAAGATTTATTTATTTGAGAGAGAGAGAGTATGAGGGGGGAGGGTCAGAGGGAGAAGCAGACTCCCCGCCGAGCAGGGAGCCCGATGCAGGACTCGATCCCGGGACTCCAGGATCATGACCTGAGCCGAAGGCAGTCGCCCAACCAACTGAGCCACCCAGGCGCCCGGGTTGGTTTGTTTTTAATCGATATTCAGCCTGCCTGTCCTCTCCAAGCTGTGCTACCTGGACTGGAGGCCATCTGGGAGCTGAAGCTATCCCCGTGGGGGGGGCTCCGAGCAGCTGCTTTCCTCAGAAGATATAGAAACCTTCCTGTAGGCAGAATCTCTCTGATATCTGAAGATGGGGCCCTCACCCCAACATGCAGGCCATAGGTAACCCAACCCAAGTAGGTTTACCCCAACACATTTGTTCATGAGCAAGAAACTGAAACATGGGAAGACTCTAGGCTATCTATAGTTTACACGTATAGAGTCAAGGCTTGGCCTGGAACAAAGCAGGGGCACAGGTAATGCAGTTTTCATGCTTCTCGCTTCCCAGAGTTCCAGGGCTCTGGCAGATCTGCCTGCCTAAAATTCTTTCTGCACTGAAAACGATCCACATGGACCTAATGGCAGAAGATAAAAATGGGTCATTATCTAGCCCGGTCATCTGGCACTGACAGTGATGGATGGGGAAGGATCCTGTGGTCAGTGACAGCTTTGGAATAAAGGTTACTCATTTCAAGTGATTCAGTCACCAAACCTGAAGCTTACACCTTTTCCTTTATCATCTGGGGCGGTGTCAAGAAGAGCCTGGCATCAAGGAAACACTTAGGACCCAACCTGCTTGACCAAGAGCCATCCTCACCCTATTTCATTCCACTTGCACCACTGCCTAAATGAACCCAGGTGTAGGGAATGTGTAGTATGTAGCAGGTGCCGTACAGGTGCCAGTCATGTGATGAAGATAGAGCAGTCTTTCATTCCATATAAGGGGCGGACTTGGAGGGTAATGAATTCCCCATCCCCCGATTTAAAGCATGGTCTGAACTATCACAGGGTTGGGATGTTGCAAAGAAAATTTAAATCATACTGCCAGCCCACAAACCAAACAGGCTTACTTTCACTGGATTTTGTTTTTTCAAGTTAGTTACAATTTAAAAATTGCGAGATTTCACAAAAATGCTAGCCTCCAAAAAATAAGATCTGATAGCAGCCAGCTGGAGCCGAGAGCAGCTTTCGTTAGAGAATCCTCTCCCCATTCAAAACAACCCCTGGTAGATCACTTCCCTTTGTTACATGCCTCGCCCCAGTAGGCAGTTTACTTTGTACCCTCTGCTGTGTGGATGGAGGGAATAGCAGCAGAGTTGCTCTGGGTTGGAGGGAGCATGGGGCTCCGAGTCCTCCCCTTTACCAGGGCACCTGAGGCAGCCACCAAGAGTCCTAGAGTTTCAATAAACACCAGGTTCATTCTTGGCCCTGCAGGCTTCCTGATCTTTCCAGAAACCCTACTTGGGGCTTCCTGTTGAAAGAATTCCAAACGTATGGCCTTACAAAGATTAAATTATTCGTATGAAGAGCTAGTTCTTGGGATGCGAATGGTAGGACCTCACCTAAGCGTCGCTCGTTCACGGCATCAGACACACTTTGTAGCTCAAAGGAACTGCGATCCCCATTACCACCGATGAGTTTGCATGTGATGGAAAACTGTCTCCGTGCCCACATGTGCACAAGCTCTGGGAAGTGTTTTCCTTTCTAATTTCACACATTGACAGCTGTTGACCCACACCTAAAATACAACATGATACATATGTGCTGAAGGTTTTACTAGTAGATCATTCCTGAGGCTTCAGAAATGGGAGGCGTTGGAGACGCTAGGAGAGAGTGTGGTCAGAACTGGGGTCCATGTTGGGCTCTGCACTCCATGGGAGTCTGGAATCCAATTTGCTTTGGCTCAGGTGCCTGCCTCCTCCCTGTCACAGGATGAGGCATTACCCCAGCCCCCCCTCCCCCGCCTGCATCACCTCCCCAGTTAAACAGTGCCCACCCCCCCCCCCCCCCCCCCCCCCCCCCATCCCCACCATCCCCACCATAAGCTGTAATCTGCACTTGCCTTCTACACTCTGCCATCGTCTTTCCCTTAGTTGATCTTAGGGTCTATGAAGTTGGCATCTTCCGAGCCTCAGATGATGCAGATGGTGGAGCCCAGAACACACCCTTGGCACCGAGATACTGGGAAGAGCCCAGCTCCCCATCTGCAAACTTTCAGGGCCACGTGCCACAATGTGCTAAGAGCCATCGGGGTGGAGGCAGGGGACACTCTCCAAGGCTACACGCCTTCAAATCAGACCTCTCTCTTCACCATGCCCCAGCGGACTGTCGAGGATGAGTGCAGTGGGCAAGGGAGGAGAAGGGGCAAGATGCAGCCTATCTGGGAGGAGGTGTAAGGTGCTTGCAGCAGGGAAACATCTCGTTTTGGTTTTCTAGTTCTCTTCAACTTCCACGAGCAGTCTTAGTCCACACATATTGCCTGGAGCGAGGCTTGAGAGAACCATAATCTGCCCACAAGATGCTGGTAGGCATCAGGGAGGAACCCTGAGGAGACTAGCTGGGTTCTTTCAAGATACTGGCAGAAGCCTGAGTCTAGATGGCGAAGGGCACCAAGAGATTTAAAGAGAGGGCTCCATACAGTGAGGAGTTTTGCTTGAGTCCTGAGTGGTGTGAAGGGGACGATGCGAGGGAGGAGCTGAGCCCAGAACGTAGTCATGCTGAGTAAGGGCAGTGACGGCACTACACGGCTTCCCCCCGGGCCCTCCTGCATCTCCCCAGGACTTCCACAACACCTAGGATTTATCCCTCTGGCTATGCCTTTCGTGCTTTTTACTTAACTGACTCCCCCATTAGGCGGTGAGCTCTTAACTTCCTAGTGGCTGCTACAGGGTAGGAGCTGGGTTCACCGAACGGCCAAATAGCGGGTCACACCACGTCAGCAGCCCTGCTGCCCGGAGGTGTTCATTTCAACCCCCCACCATATACTGTATGTCTACCCCTGCACCTTGCTACACCTTGCTAATCCTAACATTTAGTGAGCACTTACTGTGTGCAGTGTGAAGGGTCGGTGGGGGTCCCCCATTCCTCGGCTCCATATCTCCACTCAGGCAGACCTCCACAGAGCAACACTGCCGACAGCCCCAACCTGCTCATTCACTCCGCCCCGCCTGGGAAAGAAGCGACTTCCTGAAAGGAACAACCTGCTTGAATTGGCGCCACCTGGCTTGTCCCGCAGGTCCACCTGCTCACAAGCCGGGTGCGCGCCGGTCTGCTCCCCACCCTGCAGGACGCTCCGGCAAAGCTGCCCGGGGCAGACGAGGCTTGCAGCTTCCTGGCTCAGCCTGGGACTGGGTGGGTCTAATTCAGAGAAAGGCACTTTGTCCCAATACAGCACAACTCATTTGACGTACATCTTATCCATGTTAACGTCTCTGAAATCGGGATGCATCTTCCAACCAGATGGCATGACACAGCTGAATTGGCTGTGATGTTTTCTTAGTGGGACATCTCACACTCAACGGCATCTTAGATTCGAAGAAACGTGGTAAGCAGCATTCTCCAGTCAGCCTTATCAAGGAGCCGGTATCTTGTGCTCCGTCTGTCCCAGTGAACGGTGCTCAACTGGTTCCGAGCACAGGAACGGAGGAAAGGGGTGTTCTTTATTGCCACCCCGCCGCCCCAGCCCCAGCCCCACGCACTCCCCCTGGCCTAAGCAAATAAATACGACACCTTCTCCAAGCTGTGAACACGAACAGCCCGGTCCAGGGAGAGCAGAAGCACTAGGAAGCCGGAAAGGGCAAGGGCTCACGTGGTGCG